CTTTCCTTTAGAGCATCCTGCATCTTACTAGGTCATCTGTGTATGATAGTCACATTCTAAGAACCTTAGTTGTTTCTTACATGACTGGGGGCACTGGCTCATCCTGCTGCGAAATAGAGTTGAAATTAGAATACCTCTGGTCTCAAAAAAAAATAAAAGGGCACGCATGCACACATACATACACACACACACACACACACACACAAATTAGGACAAGACACTTTCAACTTACTCCCAATTTTCCAAATCCATTTTGAAGGTATTTACAGAGGATCACAAATCTTTCCTACGTTATCCTCAAAGTTTGTCCACGTAAAACAAAGTAGGGTCTGGTAATAACAGGTAATGTCTGGGCCACTATGGAGAGTCATGAATCAAAAACTATGATCTATTTTCTTATTTATGATTGAAAAGTACAGCTCTGTTCCAGATACACACATCAAAGGCAGCTGAAAATCCAGTGTTCATTATATTGGTTCATATGCAAAAATTAAATGGCACTGCCTTACCATGAAGCATCACCTACATATCCCCAAGCATGGACAAACCATTATCTCAGGAAGATCAGTGAGCCATGTAACTTACAAATATAAGAATATGTACTTTTTACACTACAATGTCCACAACACACACAACAGTACCTACCCACAAAATATGCACTCAATAATTATCTGTGGAATGAATTCTGGAAAGAGATGTCTCTTTACTTAGAAACATTCTGCATTATAGGTAACGTTCTTACATTTAAAATCACACATAAATGAAATACATTATCATCACTCTCAGGAAAAAGTCTAAGCCTTAAGAAAAGAGAATTTAGTTTCTGAACATGCTCAGTTTCACAACTCATGCCGAATCAACAAGGATATTTTTAAAGGAAAACTTTCATCTAGAGTTGTCATTAAGTGCCTATACATTTTCCTCACAAGCATTTTCCAAATGCAATAACGCAACAGTCTTTGAAATTATGTCATAAGATCTTTCTTATATAAATACACTGAACAGACATTAACAAAAGTCTGACTTTCCTGTCATAAGCCTCATTTTTTAATTAAAACAATATGCAGCGTTTACATTATACAGCCATATAAGATAATGAAAGAGGTAAGGAATAAAAAGTGAAA